TTTGATTTACCCAGGTGCCATTTAATTGTATCAGAAAGCTGTCTTTTGTTTTATTTTATAGTTAAACGTGCTACTAATTATGTATTTCCTGTTTTGTTTAAGGTGTTGAGATTTGCATTGCTACCCCGGGTCGTCTCATTGACTTCTTGGAATGTGGAAAGACCAATCTGCGTCGTTGCACCTACCTGGTGCTGGATGAAGCTGATCGCATGCTGGACATGGGATTTGAACCTCAGATCCGCAAGATAGTTGAACAAATTCGGGTAAGTCATGTTATTTCCTTTCACTTTGCAAACAATTGACATTTGTCACACCACTGACATGACTACTACACAGATGCTGTGTTTATGAGAAGCAGAGTTGGAAATGTACACCAGAAGGTGAAATTAAAAACATTAAGGGAAATGGAATTTAAGTTTGTCAAACAACCTGCAGCCAGTACCACACAAATTAACTTTTACTGACACTAGATATCTGCTGGTGCACTCATATCTTTTAACAGGTAAATATATGTGTTAAATTTACTTTGATGCACACAAAAAGTGTTTAGCTGTTCTATCTCTTGTCTTTACCAGCCAGACCGTCAGACCCTGATGTGGAGTGCCACCTGGCCTAAGGAAGTTCGCCAACTGGCTGAGGATTTCCTGAAGGACTATGTCCAGATCAATATTGGAGCACTGCAGCTCAGTGCCAACCACAACATCCTGCAGATAGTTGATGTTTGCAGTGATATGGAGAAAGAGGACAAGTAAGTAGATGATTTCCAGCTTTTTATCTGTATTAGATGATCAGCTGATGTGATACGAATTTTGTTTGTCTTCTTTCATCTTCTCTGACAGACTGATTCGTTTACTGGAGGAAATAATGAGTGAAAAAGAGAACAAGACCATTATTTTTGTGGAGACCAAAAGGCGTTGTGATGAGCTTACCAGGAGGATGAGACGAGATGGGTAAGGAGCGCCTCTTCTGACCTTTCAGAGGATGTCTTTTCCTATATGAATTTTTCTGTTGATCTTTAAAGTTAGACACAAAGAATTTTCTTCAAGCTGGAAAAACAGTGTTTAATGTTCAATCTGTCTGTCACAGGTGGCCAGCAATGGGAATTCATGGAGACAAGAGCCAGCAGGAGAGGGACTGGGTCCTTAACGGTGAGATTTAATAAATTACATTGCAAGCTGAGGTTTTTAAAAATGAATATAAAAATCATTGTTGTAGGCTG